TTACGAAAAACAACTTCCTAGCCCTAAAACGCATTTCCCCGACGTCATCCCTAACTTTTTTCGCGTAGAATTTTTGGTTTTTATCATTGTGACGGTATTTTCTAAAATACCTCATACTTGGTTTGCTGTTATTAATTTTTTCACTACATAAAGTTATCTGCACTGGTCTAAAGGTAATATCATATTATATGCAACATAACAAAAAAATTAAATAACACTATTAAATATATCTAAATGGAATATAATAAATAAAAGATATTTATAAATAACTTTGCCTATCAGATGTAGTTATTGCATATTATATGCCGTTTCGAATGGCGTAAAATCGAGATGTACAATGCCACTTAAATCAGTTTCATAAAAGTTCTAGTTGCCCTGTTCAATTCTTATTAACAAAATCAAATTGTCGATGAGTATAAATATTACCTTATTGAATATTGAATCAAATTAAAAGCATGGAAATACAATACAATACAATGATTACAATTTACATCATAGGTAATTTTGATGAGGGACAACGTCGTATAGCACGTATGTCAGAAACTACCTGTGTAGAAAAATGGCTTTAAAAAGGATCTGATTAGTATGCCTTAAAATTAATCGGGTCCTAATAAGTATAGATAGTTTGGGCCCTACATGAAATGTAACAAGTGGTTCATCAGGACCTTAAAAGAAAAAATTATCAGGACCTTATAAGGAAATATTACTAGGATCTGAAAAGGATATGTTATTAGGCTTTTAAAAGAAAATATTGACAGGACCTTAAAATAAAGTATTACTAGGACCTCGAAAGAAAATATTACCAGGACCTTATAAGGAAATTTTATCAGGCCGTATTTTATATATTGTTATAATCCTATCTGTAGTTAATTTTATTTTTATAAAAATTTTAATAGTGTTTTTAATTTTGTAAATAGATAGTTTTTTAAAATATTCTGAAATGTTTTGAAACATTATTTCGTTTATTTCATGTTTTAAAACATTTGAGGACATTTTAAAGCTATTTTTCTACAAAATTTAAAATGAAAAATTATTAAAACCATTTAAATAAATTAATTAATGATATCCGAACAATGCCAGATAACATTAATTAAAGTTTTTTTGAAGATGTATATAAGGAACTTCTTTATATTAGTATGCAAATCCCTTCATTTATAGTTATTATTTATTATGTAAATTTTCATAAAGTATTTTAAAAATTATTTGTAATATTCCAGCTTTATTTAATTTTTGTTTGTGTTACACTTCTAAAATAGAAAAGAAAACCATTCTTGCAAATATAAAATAAGTACATGTGAAATAATGTTATACGTACAATAATGATATTCACTATTATATGTATCACCGATACGCAAAAAATAAATGATATAAACACCGCATAAAACAAACAATACTATAGATTTTAAAGTAATTTGAAGTTGAAGTGCATTACAAATATAATTCCCATAAACAAATATTATCGTTAAATATTTATACTGTTAACATATGTTAATATTATTAAATATTAATTAAATGCAAAAAATAAAAATATATAAGGACATTTCTAATTAAACATAAAATTTTTTATTTTTTATTTAAGATTAATATTGTTTTCAGTACTTTAAGTTATATAGTATTCTATATATAGTATTCACGTTATTGTAAAAAATTATTACTGTTAAAATAAAAATTCTAATAAACTTAAAAAATACTAACTTCTTCATTTGTGATAAGTACTAAAAATAAAGTAATATCATCAACTGTAATATAGGAAATGTAAAATTTTAAATGAAATAAAGTAAACTAACTATAAGAACAAATATTGTTTGTAGAAATTAATCCTTATTCTCAATTGCTGTTTGAGCCGCTTCTAATCGACGAACATTTCTTTGACCGTCCCAATCTTTAGCATTGTTAATAATACTCCCTAAAGCTTTATTGAAGTTCTTTTCTGTTATAGGATTATTATTTTCTCCTGTGCAATTGCTGCAAATCAAATCTGTAATACAATAAACTTTAGTTATTTAGCTGCACGTACGAATATCAATTTGTAATAATTTTATTATAAAATTTAATTATTATTACCAAAAAGAGCTTTGTAAAAAGTCGTATCTTTTATAACATATTTGCCCTTTGATTGACGAACCGCAGTACATTGCATGACTAATTCTCTGTTCATAAATCTTTTTAATATTGTAAGTACTGTTTTATACATATTTTCTTTTACTAGATGTTTTAAACATGACTTCTGCAAATTAAACATTATCTTTTAGTAATTGTGGCGGAATTATCGTTGCTATGCATTTAATTACGCGGCAACGAGCCGCCACCATTTTCAAATAAACGCGCGCCGAGCTTCTCAATCC